TGTCCGAGTTTAAAGACCTCGGCCACGCATATAAACCATACGTCTCCGATTTTGGAGTCCCCAGCAGGAAGTGGTTAAAACACACAAAACATTAAGAAATGTGATCCAGCCATGTACTGACTGACATTAAACAGACATAAAAAAATTAGTAAATTTCTGTAGCACCCATAAAAAGGCTTTGTAACTGTTTTTCAAGCTTGTTTAGATGTAGGCAGTGGACTCCTGAGACATGTAGCCAGGGCATACGTGTATCATGCGTAATCTCCATGAACAATGAATTTACATGTACCTGAAGCTGATTTACTGAACGGAATGACAAGATTACCTTGGGAAACAGACCAAGGATTATAGGAATGTGGTGTGAAAGAACAGGTGCAGAGGCAATTGCATTGTTAGATTTTTGTAGGCCAATGTATTTCAATGAAAAGTACGCGTTCTTCTCAGGTAGTCCATTCTAATGTAAAGAAGACAAAGTGTTTCCATTGAGTGCATATCACCAGAGACTGATTGGCGGTGCTCTTTGCATCTTTTTGTATTGATATGGAAGCTAAGCTTAAGTTAAGGAAACTTCAGACAAATCTTTGAAGAGAGTGCAGTGCATCACAGTGGTCATTTTCCCTTCAACAGCAAGGTGGCTTACTCCCTGCCAACAGAATAGAAGAGCCTGCCCCTGGTTGGCTGAGAATCACCGGCGTCATAGCAACAGACTCTGGCATCTATGTCTGTACAGCCAGTAATGGCTTGAGTAGCATCAGCTCACAAGCACAACTCATTGTACAAGGTGAGTTTTGTGTAACACAGTTTGTGTAACACAAGTGAATCTTGTGTAGCTCATTGTACATGGTGAGTCTTTGCATGACAGATTTTACAAGGTGAGTCTTTAGCTCAGTGTATGAAATGAATCTTTACGTAGCTCATTGTACAAGGTGAGTCTTTGCATAACACATTTTACAAGGTGAGTCTTGATAACTCAGTGTATTAAGTGAATCTTTGCACAGCTCATTGTACCGGTACAAGCGGATTGTGTTTGCATACGTTTTTGCATGACTCGTTGCAGAGGGGAACCTCTGTTTAACTCACCGTGCAAAGTGAGTTTTTGGCTCACATGTACAAGGTGAATGTTTGCTCCAATCATGTTATGTAAGTCTCTGCTTAATTTGCAAGATCTTGATCTCATTGTACAATGCAGATGTTGAGTTTTTCTCACATATGTTACACTTTCCGTCACACGTTATTTAACCTGCAGTCCCGCCGAGTTTCACAGCCTCCCCTGTAGACACCACGGCTAGGGCAGGCGAGTCGGCCTTCTTCCAGTGCCAGGCAGAGGGTAACCCCGCCCCTACCATCACCTGGACTACGCCCACCACCGGCACCCTGCAGGCTCCCAGCGGGCCCCACGGCGGTGTGGAAGTGACCGGAGAGGGCACGCTGATGGTCAGCCCCGTGGAGAGGCGGCATGCAGGGGCATACGTCTGCACAGCCACCAACTCCATCTCAGTCATCAGCCAGAGTGCAACCCTTGTCGTACAGAGTAAGGCTATGTCTGCACCACTTGGCTACGGCTTGTAATTCTGTACAATTTTTTGGTAGTGCAGGCACTACCTGTAGAACCACATGTGATTCTTAGCCATAGCCAAGTAATTAAATCTGACTTGACTGAGGTAGAATTGAGGCTTGAGACAGTATTGAAATCAAGGGCAAGCTCGAATGGCAACTGTGTAGTTCTACCGATGGTTGATTGATTCTCCCTGTGCGTATGCACAGTGCAGCCCCACTGGAAAGATCCAAGTCAAGACTATTAATTACAAATCCCTTCATCACACACGCTTTGCAATTGTTGCCTCTCTTGCTGTGTTCATTTTCTGCCATCTTGTACAAGAGACCGACCCAGTAAGCCCCGCCCATTGCGCACATGGGTACCGATACTTTCCCCGATGCCACAGAACATATTCAAGTCATCATGCGGATCGTTAGTGCATGCAGGAATGTTGGACTTTTAGGCACTCATGTCGGACATAAATCATGGCTGTGATCAGTCAGAGAATGATGGGACAGGGCTTAAGGGACCGTCTGTTACTTCAGTGTCATAGACTGTGTTCACAGGGCCGGCCGTATTGAATTTGAAGGCAAGGTTAACTGTTAATTTTTTAATGTTGGGAGTACAAATGGAGCAGTAAGATGAAATTTCATGACAAATGTCCACCTGTCTACTCTGATGAATAATTTCAAATTCATGATTGAACACACAGATTTGCACCTTGCAAAATTATGAGAATATTGAAAGGGAGGCTTGGAACGCACGGAATTATAAAACAATCTGGTGCCATCCTAACTGACAGTTTGCAATATATAAAACAAATTCAATGTTGCAGAATAAGATCAGAAATGGCCGCCACTTGAATTGGGTTTATTGGTTCTCTCTGTGCTTAAGTTTGAAAAAAGATGGCGGATAACCTGTGATGCAACCATGCTCCACGGCATCAGTGATTAACTAGAAGTCCAGTCATTCATTGGTCAGTCTTTAAGTACAAACATCGATCAAACTTTTTGTAAGTAGCACCCCGGATGGGTAATCAACAAGTTTTTTCAAAAATGATTCCACTGATTCTTACAAGAGTTTGTATAGAATGAACATTTCTTTAAATCTTAATAACAGTTAGAGTACTCAAGCTTCACAGATTGGCACATGCTATTTCTAGTTTAGTTCATCCATACCAGAAGAGAAAAACAGACTGTCCCTAGTCCCTTCATTGTCACCCTAAGAACTATGGAGGCAGGAATCAGACCAAGCCTCTAGCAATTTCAAGTGACCACCAGTCGTCAAATACTGGTCGATTGTACCTGGTTCCTAGAATATACATGTATTTTGTGAATGGGTCACCAGGGAAAATCAACCAGTGGTCAATGAATGGTTGTCTCTCGAATGTGTCCCGCTCTGTTATTCAGCGGTGAGGGGCCACTTGTAACCAGAGCCTTCCCCCCGAATTGGGTCCCAAAATACCGAGATGGGGGTAATAAGAAAGCATTTACAGGAAGTAATGTGCATAATAACAGTGGAATCCCACAGGAAGAGTGAATGGCACGACTAGGAAGTACCCAACTATTCCAACCAGTCTGATCTCATACATGTACCTAATGAGATCACTGATTGACCAGATTGGGACAAGTTTGATCAGTAACAATTTGTCAACCGCGGATCATTTTTTGCCTGGTGCCTGGCATATCTTTCGTGCATAGGTTACCAGTCAAAATTGACCATTGGTTGAGAGTTTATCGTGATCAAACGTGCCCCTGGCTACAATCTCAGTGCAGTAACTGTCAACCAATCACTCAGGTTTCTGAACACAGTTTTGCCTGCTCCCCGGGTAGCATGTCGCTCAAGAAACCACTGTGTTTGATTTTTAATCTTTGAGAAAATTCTTTAACCCTCATTGTGTAAAGTGGTCCCTTGTGGAGTTATTTCAAAACATACCAATCCCCGTCTTGACAGGTCCACCATTTTTCACGACTGTACCCACCGATCAGCGTGTCATTGAGGGCTCCTCCACCCAGCTCACCTGCCGTGCCGAAGCCAACCCGGCCCCAACCGTCACCTGGCTGTTCCACGGGGTGCCCCTCGTCAATGACCCCAAGCACAGTGTCTACGGGAACGGGGACCTGACCGTGCGGAATTTGGAAAAGGCCCAGGAAGGGACGTACATGTGCCGGGCCGAGAACACGCTGGGAGTGCAGGAAGCGTCTGCCTTCGTAGTGGTGCTAAGTACGTAACACCATCGCCGGTAGATCTGGAGTGTACATGGAGAGTTTGTGTTGTCAGATTTGTTGAATTCTGCATTTGATTCTGTGGTGCCCTTCGTCTAAATTCAGCTCCAGTGAATTACTTTAAATTCGGTGAACCAACTTCAATTAATTCTTTTTTGTCTCTGTCCCAGTTCCGCCAGACTTTGCCATTTATCCCACCGACTTGACAGTGCAACTTGGGGACTCTGTCCTGTTGGACTGCATAGGGACTGGTGACCCAACACCTGTACTTCAGTGGTTGAAAGACGACCAGCCATTGGTGTTAGGTATGTATGTGCGATTATGTCACCGTATTCAATCAAGAGAAGTACGGCATTAAGCACTCTTGTGCATATACAGAACTTCTGAAGTTCAAAACCCTCAGGCTGAAACTGAAAGTGTTTAATTTCAGTTTTATTAAGACTGTACCGATTCTTGGTAACTGTTTTTTGTCTGTAGCTGATCAGCTCAGCACAACCATTTTACATTTGTTCTTGTGAGTCAATTTCCACTGAAAATGTTTCTTTTGTACTTGTTAGTGCTTAGTGTGCGGGCCAGTAGGAAAAAAAAACAGGACTATTCCTGCCAGTGTTCATGTTGTGGTGGTTTTTCTTGACACACATTTACTGGGCAAGGTCTCACTGTTAAGTAGGGAGAGAGTCCTGTGAAAGGATGGTAAGATGACTGTACACACAGCATGAATACCAGTCGTTATTCCCATTGTTTCCCGCCCAGAGTGGAACGTCGCGGTGCTGGCCAACTTAAGCCTGTCGCTGAGCAACATCACCAAGGCCAACCTGGGCACCTACACCTGCCTGGCAACCAGCGAGGCGGGGACCAATCGGATCTCGGCTCAGGTCTGGACGCCTGGTATGCTGTCGTGGTTATTTATTGAAAAGAAAGAAACTGCCCGATGTTGAGAGAACTAGCCCGAGTCTGCCCTGAGGGTTTATTTTAGAGGGCTGAACATGAGGCGAAATTTGCTCTGCACAGCAAAAATAATTGGGTTACCCTGATACTGCGTTGTGTATTTTGCTTGTGACTGTTTTTCCAGGTGTAAGCCTCTCTACATGGAGAAACAGCTTTGAGTATACACAATTTCTTGTTCCAATTCAACTGAAAACATGTACTGCAATTTGCTGCTTTAGATTGTAGGAGATAAATGTGCGATGTGTTTCCGAAGATGTTGTTTTTTTTGCCAGGGAGATGCCAAGCTTTTAATGGGTTTTGCCCTTGCAGCGACGTAAATATTCATATTAAACACTTGGGAGTCGGGCTGGCAAGGTAGTTCTTTCCTCGCCTTCCACCTCTGTGGTCCCGGGTTCGATTCCTGGTCGGTCCACATGTGGATTGGGTTTTCAGTCCCTACCTGATTCCGTGGGTTTTACCCAGAATATTCCTCTGGGGTTTTCCTCCCACCTCTAAAACTGTAACTGCTTCTTACTGTCTCCTCTGTACTGATGTTGGTGAATATGGGTCGTTTGGCGGCTGCCCGAGGCGCCCTTGTATGCCATCTGCTGGACCATGTTTAAATGTATTCATTGTTCCACGCTCAATGTCTTCATTGTACAGTGCATTTGAACATATCTATATGAAATTTGCAATTTATAAATGAATATATTATTATAATAAATGCTCAGTGACTGAGTGTTTGAGCATACAAGGGCAAAACTCTTTAAAAATAGATACATGTGCACAAATACGTCAACACGGTGATGACCAAATTTTCAAACAGGATTTTTTGTTCTCATGGTCAGTAGTTGGAAGTACTTTTGGCATAAAGTTAAGGATAATAAAGACCCTCAAAAAGGGTGTAAATAGTGACAAGCTGTAGCGTTTTATTGCTTAGATATGTGTGCTTGCACCTAGAATGACGTTAGAAGCACACAGTGAGATGGAACCCCAAGTTGAAATTGCCAAATTGTTTCGTTGTACCTATGCAGTTGCAATATTGACCTTATTGGTACTGTCTTTCCTTTAAGGGTGGAAGTTTACATTAAATTTGAAAATTGTTTACAAAAACTTTCCCATACTGTTTAAACATTTAGCCAACACTTTACCGAGGCTGCCACCTGCCTTGGTGTTTTCATATGTGCATAATTATGTACAGTTCAAAAATGCATGTGGTATGACCTATGTAAACTTGTAGGTTGATGTTGGGGTGTTTACAACAAAAAGTGCCTATTGTTTTCAGAATCCACTGTTTTTCTCGAAAAGTATGTGGATGCTGAAAGGGGGAAAAAGTATGTAACTGGCATCACTTACAGTAAAAATGAACACCAGATTGCATCAATTAAAACATCAAACCTCTAAAACTAAAAGAAGCTATCCCATTTTTATACGTTTGGGAAAATCTGTAAATGGATTTGGGACTTTTTCTGTAGGTTTGTGAGGACCTGGATTTTCTGTGTCACCCAAAAACATAACGAGCAAACGTAGCTGAGTCTTTTTAGTTCAAGGTTTTGATGATAAATTCTCCCTTGGGATGAATTGAGCTGGGTAAGAAGCTTAAAGATCTCTAGAAGTCTAAACCACAACACCAAAAATGACAAGGACTGTTTCTCCTTAAAAGCAAGATAAATAAAAGATCGCAAATGACTGAAGGCTACGGTGTTAAAATAACCAAATGGTTGATAAAAAGACAGGGAAGATAAATAGACAACCAAATTTAAGTTAAAAACTGTAATAAATACAGGTGTAAAAAACTTTGGCTTCTTGCCACACCATGACCCTTGACCACTTTCTCTCCACCTTTTTCAGACATCCCGTTTTTCACGGTCCCACCCACCAACACGACCACCAACGAATCCATGTCCGCGACGATCTCCTGCCAGGCCTCAGCCCGCAAGGTGCCGACCATCCGCTGGTACCTTGCTGACGATGTAGGTAACCGAGGGGCAGAGGTAGGATTAGGAACCAACCTGCCGGGATCGCGAGGGGCTGGGAGTTTCGTCGCAGCCGATGGCAGTTTGATGTTCTCAGACGTGTCCAGATCAGACGAGGGACTGTACATGTGCGAAGCAGACAACGGAATCGGCAGTGTTGCTGAGACAGCCTTGCTCCTTGTCAACGGTGAGTGCCTGCCGTCATCAAAATCCTGCAATAAATGTCATGAAACTTGAAGTAACTTGGCACTGTGTGTAAACTTTGTACCACAAATTTGTGAAATAGATGTCCAATAATTATATCTATGGTCAATTTCTCCAAAATTGCTTAGCTGCACAACATTTCAATTATGATCATGGTTTTGACGACAGCTGTTCCTTGTCAATATCCCAGCAGTCATGAAACGGTTGTTAATTAGCTCCACCTGCAGTTTTGAAAACATTCTCTCAAAGTTCTCTCACAGCCAAAGTAGTAACACATTTCCTCCCAAAAGCAAAGTTGTACATTTCTCATATAAACCTTGTTAGGTTGAGCAATGATGAGCCTGATCAAACATGATTAGTCGGTAAAAGTGTTCATTTCCATATTGTTCTGTGCAACGTATGCTACCTAAAGTGATTGCTTAAGTAACGCCATCATTTATTGCACAGATTTTCCGGACTTTTACATTGCTCGTCTTTTATGAAATTTGTCTAAAATTGTTGCACAACTTTCATGCAATGAAATGTGGCATAAGGGAAGTTATGCCATTGTGTAAGATTTGTGACATGACATTTGCTGTTTGGTGCTTCACAATCTACTTGGAGGATTGGAACAATTTTGGAGAATTGAGAAGGACAGCCCTGCCAATGTTAACGTTAGAAGGAGGTAGAGTTCCAGACCTGCGGCTAGTTGGCATGTTCGAATGCAAACTGTACATTTGATGTGATAAAGCTCTGATGGTGAACATGGCCAAATGTGTCCATGAATTCTGGTAAACCTGAGTCTCTCTCCAGCCTAAAAAATCCACTGACAGGTTTGGCAGGATTTAGAATCTGTGAAAAGTAGGATCGAGCCACAACTACCGGCACTTTTTACTACAGGGAGTGATTTCCATGGAGGATTTAGATACAGAGGGTGTACCATGGGGCTCCTTGATAATGGAGGAATTCGTAGACTTACAAATAAGGCAGGGTTGTGGTGAGAATGTGCAAGAACTTATCAGCAAGGGCTTTCGTTATCTTACTTTACCTCTGTCACCTGTCTTCTGTTTGTTTTATAGTTCCCCCAGAGATTGTGAGTATCACCAGTCCAGTCACCGGCACGGAGACCGACAACCATCTTCTTTTGCAGTGCATTGCCGACGGTCGGCCCCACCCACATCTCACCTGGTTCCTCCCCTCTGGCGGCCCTGTTCCCAACGACCCATCCCGTTACAATGTTCAGTCCTCCAGCGGGTACCTGGTCATCTACTCCCCCTCTGTTAAGGAACACGACGGTGATTTCTTGTGCCGGGCAGAGAATTTCCTAGGGAACGACAGCACGGTCATCACCGTCATCGTGCAAGGTTTAGACCATTTCCTTTCCTGTCTGAAATCTTTTGTAACCGATCTACCAACCAGCGTTACAGGGGCCATGAAATATTTGCATGCAAGGTCCACTACAAGACAGAATCCATTCAAGTAGTCTGGCCAGGAAGAATTCGCAGGGCAAAAAGTCTACAGTTGCTCAAATATGAAACGGTTACCCCAAAGAATTAAAGCCCGTTGTGACAAGCTCATTAGTGCCATGACCGTCGCATGTTCAAACGCTTCTTTCAGGATGCAGTTTTAAAATCTGAAGTATTTTTTTAAATGTCTAAGAGAAAACCTAAGCCGTGAACTGTTAACAGTGAAAGCAGTGTTGCAGTACAGTGGGCAGACTACTCATAAAATTCTATTTTTATCCTGATTTCTACGAGAGAAGCTGATTAAAAACTACCCGAGTAATATGAGGATCTTTTGAGTCGCCTTGCTAGTAGCATTGTTGTCATGTCTGTCACAAGTCCCTGCAGGTCTGCCATTAGTCATTTAGTTTTAATCCAAGTCACAAGGTATTGAATTAAGCAGTGACGTGAGCATTCCTTTGTCATTGGTCACCCTGTTGCTTACTGGTCATGTGGAAGGACTTGTGACCAGACTGTAAGGGACTTGTGATGGACACAACTTTGGGAAATCAGTTTGGCGTAGTGGTACTTTCTTCGCCTTCCAACTCTGCAGTCCAGGTTCGAATCCTGGCCCGGTCCACATGTGGATTAAGTTTTCAGTCCCTACCTGACTCTGTTGGTTTTACCCAGAATATTCCTCTGGGGTTTTCCTCCTACCTCTAGAACTGTAACTGCTTCTCGTTGTCTCCTCTCTACGGGTTTCTTTAGGCTTGTGAGCTTCGGTGCCAAGGGGACTTTTGAGGAATCCTTGGTGTGATTTACCAGAAATAAATAATAATAATTATAATAACTACCATTGCTGGCCACTTTACCGTACATCACTTCAAACAGAGCCAAGAAAATTGATTTTTGTCGCCATTATTCACCGTGTAGGAACTCCCGTCCTAACACGGCTTCTGGCGAAGAGAGCTGAAAGGTCGGTGACGTTGCAGTGCCTGACAAGAGGCTCGCCGACACCCACTCATTCATGGTCAAGGAACGGGCTGGACATCAGTGCTGGTCTGGCCGGTCATTTCATCAGCAGTGACGGCAGCTTGGTCATCCAGAATCTAGATCTGGCCCAGTCAGGGATGTACGAATGCATCGTGGGTAATACATTTGGAGAGGTGTCTGCAACATTTAAAGGTACCGTTTCAACTTCGATAACGTTGATACAGTTAAAAATTATGGTGAAATTTGAAAGTTGTTCAAGTTTTATTAACCTTGCGACCATGGACAGTTTTGAACCCTACTGGTAGCAAATGCCCCCCTCGCAC